AAGGACCTTCCTTAAACGCCCTATAAAGCGAAAAACTGAATAGTGATTTTCGCTACCCTCATCACTGTCCAAGTTTCATCGTNCGATCACGATGTCCGATAGTTTTATTTTTCATTTTTTTTTTATAAATCGGAATGACCTGAAATTTAGAAGGTATGTATATCTTATTGAGATGCATCTAATAAAAATATAAAAAAAATTATCCGCGAAAAATAAATTAATAAAAATACCCCCAAAAAGTTTCAAGGGTATTTTGATCAATTTTTTCCATGTAAATTATTTTTTTTATATTTTTCGAAGATTCCCTTATTTTTGATGAATAAACACTCTAAATTTCAAGTCATTTCGATTTGTAGAAAAAAAAAAAGAAAAATAAAACACTACCGGACAATCGTTACCGCGCAATGAACTTTGGACGGTCATGAGAATAAACGAATTACCGTTCATTTTCGCCTATAGGTATTACGTAATGTTTTCCTATATATATATTCATGAAAATAAATGACTAAAATGCCCCCATAAGTTTTAAGAGTATTTTGATAATGTTTCGTCAAGCGAAATATCCTTGCAAAAAAGATTTTATCATGTGCATCTATGACAGATATATGCATGCCCCAAATTTCAAACCAAAATGATTTATATAATCAAGATTAAAAATAAACCACCTATGATAGATATATGCATGCCCCAAATTTCAGACCAAAATGATTTATATAATCAACATTAAAAATAAACCACTTTGAACAGTTGGAGTTAGATCAATATCTGAGCCAACATGTGACATTGACTATCGATTTAAAACGTGGGTGGATCAGATGTAAAACTTTCCCATAATATTATAGGGATATCCATAGAGATAAAGCAATCTAACTAAATAGTTATTCAATAATGAGTAACACAGCTCTCTTCTTTTTTCTCATGTTCTTAAATCACACAGGGGGGTGGGTGGGGGTGGGGGTGGGGGTGGGGGAGGTGGAGGGAGACGGAGAGATGTACCGGGGTGGGGGTGGAGGTGGGAGTGGGGGAGGGGGAGGGAGAGGGAGAGATGTACCCCAATTGACCTCAAACCAACGGAGGAGGTTGAAGGTGCTCTAAAAAAAAACACAGCCAAGCTCAACCTTGAACAGGAATTTAAAATTGCAGAGTTGACAAGGAGCAGGGAGTTAATTGTTCAAGTCAAAACAGTCGGATCAGGCAGGTCCTTCAAATTTTGTAGCACAGTCAAGCTCATATCTCCTCATGGATAACATGTAAGAAACCTCAAATTAACCAGCTATTCCGCTTAAATTTATGAAACCAAACTAGCGGCCCATCCCGACCAGTACCATCCCTGGTTAAATACATAGTAGTATTTTCCTCTAGGCATCATACATCGGTAATAAAATTATCATACTCTCTCTCGTAGCTCGTTGAGAAGCATCTCCATTTCCTCATCGATAGCAATCTCATCCTTCTCCATCGATAATATGACATCATTAACACTTTTACCAGCTTTAGCATATGTTTTGACCAATGACTTGTATGTTCCGGCATTTAAACATTTCAAACTCCTCATTAGCTCAACAAATTGCTCTACATTTTCTACATCGCCAGTCTCTTCACAAACCTTCATAACTGCCTCGACATTCACAGGCTTTGGAGCCCACCTCCTAAACCTCTTCACTGAGGCAGCTTCATTCAAACAATGAAGAGCCTTGCCAATTTCCCGATCCCTAGTATATCCTTCTGCCAAAATTTCCCATGTGCTAGGATTAGCTGTTCCCCCATTTCTGCTAGCACGTTCAAATAACTCCTCGGCCTTCTTCAAAAGCCCCCCTCTAACATAAGAAGCCATCAGAAAATTTGTTATTCTAGGATCATACTTAACCTTGATAGCCTCCCATTCTTTGTAAAACTCCTCGGCTCCTTCCACGTCTCCTACCTTGACCAAAGAACAAATCAATGCGTAGTAGCTTGAATTTGGGATACTCTGAAAGCTTGATTTATACAAATTCCATATTCTATATATTCCTTCCTTGTCACCAATTTTCCCATATAAACTTATTAGGAAATTATATGGGTGACGATCACGTCCTGTTAATTTTTGCTCCACCTCTTTCAAGTGGTGTTCTGCCTTCTCGAGTAGGCCAAGCTTTATGTACAAGGTTGCCAATGTACTGTGAGTTGTCCAATTGGGGTTCACATTTTTGTCTTGAGTCATCTCTTCGAGCACTCTTTCCATCTTTTCCACATCCATCATAGCACCACATGTGCAAATCCATATATGGTATGAGTATATATCGAATGGTGTTGCATTATCTTTCATCTCTTGGACTATCGAATCCACCTTATTGTACTCTCCCAAGCTCATGTAGAGATTCATCATCTCATTGAACGGGAGAGCATTTGTGATGAGACTCTCTTTCTTCATTTTCTCGAAAATGGTCTCAGCCTTTTCTCTCTCTTTCGACTGGGAGTACACATGGAGAATTGCACCATATGTTCGTTCATTCTTTTGGAAATCCGAGAGCTTGACAAAAATATCCTCCGCACTTGACATACCATGAACTTTAGCAACCAAATCCAACTGGATTGCAATATCAGAAGATGAGAGTGTAAATTTTTCTCCTTTGCTAATCATCCATTCGTAAACCTGAAGAACATATACGAAGAACCGATAATCCAATACATCAAGACAACATGGAATGAACAGTAAATAAGCAAGAAAACTTTAAAACGAGAACAACAAAATTTCCATCAGAATCAAACAAAGTTAACCAAAAAAATTAAAACATGGAGTATAGATACGCAGAGAGAGAGAGAGAGAGAGAGAATCCAGGAGTGCAGCATCTTGATGCACCAAAGTTAAGGTAGGGTTGCTCTGATATTGCCCTCTCTGTTGCACATACATGAAGAGAGAGGTCGCATGTCTTGTTCCAAAACTCTCTTGGTCATTTGTTGCTATTTCTAGGACTGGTAGAAACTTTGTAACTCTGAATCCCAGATCACTAACTATTATTTTTCAGAATTAACAGTACTTCAAGAATCAAGTAGACCCCATCAAAGAAGAGATCAATAATCAGTTAACATCAAGCTATACATGAAAATAGTTACCACAAATATTTATTTGGAAAAAAATAATGAGAATAAATATGGAACCAGGGCTTAGTCACATTAGTCTATCAGTTTGCCCATCGCCGTTATGATAAGCAATCTGATATAAAATTATTTTAAATTACTAACTCTTGTTTTCTAACTCGTTTAGTAGCGCTCAAATGATCATAAAATAGAAATCAATGTAAAAAAATTGTTAAGACCATTCGAAGGTCAAAATCTTTTAAAACAACTGAACCGGCAATGAGGTAACCATTCAAATTAATCCAAATTATTTTCTCAAAGGAAACACTTTTTTGTTGATTATTCATTCAGGAGAACTTAGGTATGGCTCCAATAAGTGATAAGATGAGAGAAAGTAGACCTAGGTAGCTGGCCATGTGCAGCACGGACCGAGTACAAGACCTATTAAGAGATGCGAGTTGGTTCAGGTGGAAGGCTCAAAAAGGACAAGGGGTAGGCCCAAAAAGACATGGCTAGAAGTAGTGAGAAAATAAATAGCGTTTATAGCCTCATTGAGAGTATGGCCCTTGATAGAGCAAAATGACAGACCAAGATTTTTGTAACCGATCCAAATCATTGGGAAAATCCTCTTATGATGACGATGAAACATTTTTATGTTGATAAGTGACATTTAGTCATTAGCATTTAGCACAAAGATACAGGAAACAATCAATACAGATTTCATATTTTTATTAGCCCATAACCATGCCATCACTAAAGAAGTCCAGGGTTTCAATGGGATGAAGCATCATCATCTCAAATTCTAATCCTCAGAAAACAGAAAGGGGCTGAAAAAAAGCACATAATTTACATATGACAAACAATCATAACATCAAACAAACCACTATTTTAAGGCAAATTAGAGACATTTTGAGTAAATGGAGTAACTACGAACTATGGAGACTCATCGTATGAAGAACTGGGGGAAAACACAAACCATTTCAAATCCTACTTACTCAAAAATAAGCATAACCATAACCACTAGTCCGTAAAATTATTGCATTAGCCTACAAATACAAAGTAACAAGAAGGTAAAACACCGAACGGAAAAATTAAAATCATGATACATTGTATGTGCAACTAAAGTAGATTTATCACACAAACAATTGAAAACCTCAAGATGTTCCAAGATGGCAATCCACGTCTTCTCACATATAGCCTTTCCAAAAGATGAGAAAACCTCTCTGTTTGGACGGTCTAACACAACTCCTCCAAGGAAGGGAGTTATTTATAAATAATTAAAAAACAGTTCATTTTTTTTTTTTTGGACATTCTGGTGGAGTTTCATTAATAAGCAATCACAAGGGACACACCTGTGAATGGTGAAGGGACTAAGCTATGACCTACTTCACTCCTAAATGGGTGAAAGAAAAGTCGGTGCTATTTTTTTTTTTTGGAGAATGTTAACTTAAAGTCAGTGCTATTTATTATTAAATGTTCCATCCAAATGGGGTAGCAGACCGCAGTTGTTGAAAGATTTAGTTCATGTGGGTGAAACAAGGTTATAAAGTTTCAGTTCATTAGAGGTATTTCAAAACGAATTGAAGACTGAATATTTATGTTTTAAGGCATGTCAATGCACAATCTCAAGATAATATTTGCCTGCTACTGATAATAATTAGTGTGAATAAGGTTTTCCCGGCAAATTTGTCCTCCGCATACTAGAAAACAAAAGATTAAACACTTATCGTGCATGTTCAATGCACGTGAATAGTAAGATCTCAAATAACCAAAAGTTACATTTCTTTGGGAGAGAAAGTAAGTTAGAAAAGGACTTTAAAAAAAAAAAAGTTAAGTTAGAAAGGATGAGATAGTGTAAAAGGATGTATTTTGAGAGTGAAATCGAGTACCGTTTACACAAAGAGAAAGTGTCTTTTCAAGTCATGGATTGTGTCCGTTCAGTGCTTTGTGAATGTTCATTTTAGGTGGTTTGATTCATCATGCCTCTTCGATGTTTTAAAGGTTATAAACCATTTATCAATTACAACAGTTTGTATTTGGTTCATCAACAGTCACAATGCCTTTGTGCCTCAAGATCCCGCCCACAAGCATGGATGCCTGCATGTCGCACGCTCTGCATGAGTCTTCTCTCCACTTTGTTCTAAGAACACAATAGAAGAAAGCATTCTCTATATAAACATATATAAGAGAAAAAGGTCTGCACCATCTACAAAGGTAGTATGGGACAGATGATCATAATGTCTATAGCGTTTTTTTATGACCAGGATAGCCTAGGAAACAACATTTTATTGTGATTGGGGGTAAGTTATCTTGCTCAGTTTGAGGCAACAACACAAACAAGTACAGCCAATCACATGAAGATGGGAGTGGTCGGGTGGGCGAGTGTACAATTTTTCAAAGGGCGTGGTTTGTATAGAGCCAAGGCTCTAAACAATCAAAGTAAAGTGCACATTCAAATAGTGTCGGGAAATATGGTTTCAATACTGGAAATCTTTGTGATAACCTTAAAATATATTTTCATCTTTTAATTATAAAATTTAAAGCTTCAAAGATAGCGAAGATCAAGCAGATCTATGAAAACTTGAAAATCTAGAAAATTAACGGCCCAAAAATACGTTACAAGATGCACTATTTCCAAAACTTGAAATCCATTTTTTTCTCATGTCCATGCATCTTGATGTCAAGAGGATCAATTCGAGGATATTTGGGTCAAAACAACCTCTTCTAATGAAATTTTTGAGGTGGGCCCTAATTTGATTGTTTAGAGCCTCGGCTCTATATAAAACTTCTTCCTTTTTCAAAAGGTGAGAGCACTGATAAAGTAGAAGATGGCATCATGTTAGTAAGATATACAACAACACGAACAGCTTCAGCCTAGAAAGCTTCGGGGACAGAGTTGGACAAAAGAAGTGCCCCTCTCATTTCCAAAATATGACGGTTTTTGCGCTCCATAACACCATTTTGTTTAGAAGTGTAAGGGCAAGTATTTTGGTATTGAATACTTTTGTCAGAAAGAAAGTTTTGAAACATCCCACTAATATATTCATCTCATGAAACAGAGTGCAAGGCTTTAATCTTGGTAGAAAATTGTGTTTGTACATATGAATAAACTTGTTATAAAGCTTAGTTCGATTATTTATAAAGAAGACCCACGTATAACGAGTATAATCATCAATAAAGGTTACAAAGTATCACGATCCTCCTTTTGACAAAACAGGAGTAGGTCCCACACATCAGTATGAACAAGATCAAACATAAAAGAAGAGAGATAGAAGTATATAACTACTTTGAGTAAAAGGCAATGCATGAGATTTTGCAAGTTTGCAAGTTTGCAAGTTTCACAATGTTTATCATTGGTAAAATCTTTATTTGACACAGTAACAAGAACATCACGAGAGAACAAAAAATACAACCGAGAAGTAGAAATATGACCAATACATTGATGCCACTGTAATGTGACATCAATAGTTGACAACACAGATTGTAGGAGGTGGCAGATGAAGGTAGTCAAGATAGTATAAATCTATAAATTTATGTCAAGTCCAATTAGCTTCCCTAACTATTGATCGTGTATGTAACATTCAAAAGGAGAAAAGATAACATTAAAATTGTGATCTAATCAACAAAAAGAAGATTCATGATAATGTCAGGAACATGACAGACATCAGAAACACTTAATTTACCAGAAGGGCGAGAAGTAAGGGATAGAGCCAACTTTTGGAATTGTCATAGTGGCACCATCAACAGTGTGAATAATATTAGAAAAAGGCTTACAATCAACAAGGATAGACTCATTAGTTGTCACATGACGAGAAGCTCCTGATTCAATTAACCAACGAGTGGAAACAGAGTTACTTGAAAAGGAGGTGGTGGGTTTTGAGGATAGTCCAGATTGTGATAGCATAGATTGTAGTTGCTCCAATCTAAGAGTTACCGTAGATGGCACCATATTGGCAGCTTGAGTTGCAGGTGATGAATGTGAAGTGCTGGCTTGTGTCAATGGCAGCAAGGTTGGGTTTCTTCTTCTTAGGACATGAACTTCATATGCCCAAGCTCCTTGCACCAATTACATCTAAGAAATGACATATTTTGTCGTGGTATATAGGGGGCATTTTGCTGCTCTTGTTTGAACTCATTCCGACCTGGAAGTCGAGTTGCAACAAACATTGTCTCCCCCTTGAAGGCTGAATTACGGGACTTAATCTTTGTTCCTTCTGCAACTATCTCTGAAAGCAGGGTTAGAAAAGAGAAAGAACTTTTATGGAGCATAGCATTTCTAACACTTTCAAATTCTAGACGAACTGCCATTAACAATTCAATGACTTGAAACTCATGTCAAAAAAATTTAACAATTTACGCACTGGGAACCATCACTAATCACAAGTTCCATGAGTTCCAAAGCATCCCAGAGCATCTTCATGGATCACTAGAAGTCGTAAATGGACTGATCACATTGCCTAAGTGAATGAAGTTCTTGTGCTGATTGATATTTCTGTGGGCAGTTAGTCTGATGATAAATTTCTTAAAGAAAAGTCCATGCTTCATGGAGTTTTGAAATTACTTAGGTTGATCCCT